CCAAGGGGTTTGAAGGGTGGGAGGGTGATCAGGGCTGGGGCAGGGGCGCGGGGGGAGGCTTAGGGGTTCAGGCTCCAGGCGGCTCCCGGAAGCAGTGGCATGTCCCTTCTCCGGCTCCAACGTGGAGGCATGGCACCTGCAGCTCCCGCTGGCCACGGTTCCTGGCCAATGGGAGCTGCGGGTGTGGCGCTTGGGGCGGGGGCAGTGTGCGAAGCAGAGCCTCTGGCTGCTCTTACATGTAGGAGCCATAGGGGGGCCATGCCACTGCTTCCGGGAGCCATGTGGAGCGGCCCATGACCCTGCTCCCCAGCTATGGGATAGAGTCTCTTCTGTATTATGCCTTATTAACATAAACCCCTTGTTGCTGAGATGTCTGATCTTGCAGAAAGGATGAGAGAGTTAGGAAAGGAAAATCTATTTGTTTTTTCATTTAAATAAAACACACTCTTATTAACCATAAAGGGAGGGAACACCACCCAGAGTGAGGGAGGAGTCACATTTGAGGAAAAGGAACATTTCCTTGCCAGAGTGAGTTGCCAGCTTTTTGAAGCCGCTCAAGGGGTTGGAATGTAAGAAAAAGTCCAGAGAGATGGATTAGTGGGCAGAATGCAAGGTGTGGTGACCAATGGTGCATGATTCTGCAATTTATCACATAGGTTTCTTGTGTGAGCATGTATACACACAAACACAGATGTAATTACTTTTTGCTCAAAGTGAGAAATATTTTTCTCCTCCACCCCCAGAGAGGGAGATAACTCAAAACCAGCTGAAAAGAATGTCCACCAAACTACTTTGAAGTTATGTCAAGCATGGAAAGTTAGAGCCAAACAGGAATTGGCCACAACACATTTGCTGCTTCCAGAATCGGCCCGTATCCTCTCAGCAGCTTTCATTCAAATGAATGGAATGTTGTTTGGATGCATCATATTAGTCTCTCAGGACAGGGTAGCGCACTCTTCCAGGATAATATTGTATTTATGTCATCCCATGATAAAGGGCCACAGTCTGCACTGGTGAGTGAGTGCATGCAGGGAGGTGCTGCTCAGCCCCCATAAGTGTTGTGGCCAATTCCTGTTTGGCTGTAACTTTCCATGCTTGACATAATTTCAAAGTATCTTTCTGGATACAAGTTCTAGATCTTTACTTCTACAGCTGCTTCTTATTCATTATGGGCAACAATGGCCCCTGTGTAGGTTAGTTAGCACAAGATCTATGTAACATATAAGCCATACTTGGAGGGTTTAAGTGGGACTTAACTGGTGCACATGCTTTGTGGTGGCCCTGTGTATGCAGGTGAATTTTATCCTATCAACAGAATGGTCTCTAAACAGAATGTGTCTAAATTATACAAAGGGCACTGAGGGGCCTTATAGACATGGCTGGCAATCCAGCAGCACTGGTGACACTAAAAAACAACAACAGCTGGCCGATCATAGCACAAAAAGCTACTTACCCTCAAAGATGAGAATGGCACCGGACAGTAATGACTGATTGATTCAGAGTCCAGAATTTCTTTCCACACATTCAGGCGCGGACCAAAAATTCTTTCATGGCCAGAGATCTGAATAATGAAAGAGACTTTGAATACAGTTAATTAAAGCACTGAAGACATTACCTGCTACTTTTTGACAATCACCTTTAAATCTCACTCTGTGCCCTTCCTAAAGTCTTGCCAAACTGTACCCAGTAAATAACATTTACCCCCTATTCTTTGCTGCAAACATTTTTCTGTCCCCTGGAAAATATAATATATAATCATTTGTTATTCACTTTTAAATATTTATGAGTGAATTCAGTGTTCTCAAAAGTAAAATTTGCAAGCTTCCCACACAGCTCTGTCAATGTACGTTAATTCTTAAGGCCAGAAATTGGGGGAATGTTTCTTACCCTATGAATTTGCTGTAATCAGTGGGTTAAAGACAAGAGTTTGTAGCAGATGCAGCCCAAGATTCTTCATCAACCTCAGTGCTCAACTGTAGTGACATGGGAAACTCTCACCCTGGGTTGGTGACATGGACTCAGTCCAACTCCAGCTAAAACAGTTGGGAGTATTTCCATTGACATCAATGGGAGTTGAATCTGGTCTATGATAAGGGTATATAGTATTTCTGACCGCATCATGTCACTCCAAGAGCCAGGGCTGTGGACACATGCCTATAATGTCTGGGAGTTAGTATACCCCCATCCAACCCATATAGGCAGACATTCCAAAGTGAAAATGAACCTATGTTAAGCCTTTGGGTAGCAGGACTGTCTAAAGCTAATCTGGCACTAGCATGAACTGGTGGAGTTCACATTAGCAACTAGCACTTGGAGAATTCTCTTGTTAACCTCTTGATGTTGGTCCTGAAATTCTGCCGGGCTCTTTGATGTTATCCTAGATTCCACAATTATAGGATCTTGCTATGAATAGCTCTAAATTTATTGTCAACCCTCTGATGTGTTCAGCTATATAAAGGCAGCCCCCCTTCTCAACATCTTGAACACAAGTTTTCTTGGTCCCTTTACAAAAGCAGAGATCTTAAACCAGAAAAATATATTGGCAAAGTATGTATTTATTTTCTGTCTTCAAGTAATCTGAGAAGTCAGTCTCATGAAGAGATGTTACACATTAACTTTTCAGTCAATTAATGAAAGTAATGGATGCACTTTGAGCTTATTTGTAGTAACCCTCCTGTGCTATGAAACAAAGGCACTGACTTTCCAATGTGCCGGGGGTGCTCAACCCCCTCTCTGCCCCAGGCCCAACCCCCACTCCATCCTTTCGTCCAAAGCCCCACCCCCACCCTCTCCCCATCCCGCCTCTTCCCTCCCTATTGTGTCCCTTCACCCAAGCATGCCTTGCCCTCACTCCTCCCGCTCTTCCCCAGTGCCTCCTGCAAGCTGTGGAACAGCTGATCATGGCGGGCGGGAAGTGCTGGGGGGAGAGGGAGGAGCTGATCGGGGGGGCTGATGGTGGGTGCTCAGCACCCACCATTTTTTCCCATGGGTGCTCCGGAGCACCCATGGAGTCGTCACCTATGCTATGAAATAATATTAATATATGTCATCTGACCAATATACTCTGGATTTTCTGCCAGTGGGTTTGAAGCTCTTCCAGTGGCTGACACTAGACTCAGCCATTAAGTGTTTGACCCACTTACTCCACTGATCCTGTTGGTGTCAGATCAGTTGTAGGAGTTTTAAAGAGTTGGGGGGAAATTAACAGTGTGATAGTATTAAGAACAGAGTGGGAATTACTAATATTTGTTGATGCATAAAGCACCATATTCCCATTAACTTGTACAGTAATAGGAGTAAAGAAAAGTAAAGACCAAGCTCCTTCGAGAACCTACCCCTGTAAGTGGCTTTGATTGTGTGTGGTGGTGTGAGTCGGAAGGAAAGGGAGAAGATGAGCTAGACTTGGGGTGGAGGAGGTAGACCACTCATTCTGTTGACTAGGAGATGCAAGAAGGGACCAAATAAAGTCTTTGCCTAGGGCTCTAGCACACCTATAGGTCCTAGAGAAAATCGAAGGCAAGTTGTTAGTTGAATTTGAAAGCCTTGGTTGGGGTGTAAATCTACATCAATTTTAGTTATATATTTTAGTTTAGTTTAGTGGAAGCCTTGAATGCCAATAATGAAATATGTAACTTGATTCTCTAACGGATCAACAGCCATTGACGGTGGAGAAATAATGGGGAGACATGAGAATTGAGCATATTGAAAAATGTACCTGCCTGCATCTCTAGTGCTGGATTGATGATCATGAGTGCAGGAAGTAGGCATTTAACAACATGATCACTACATGAGGATTCAAGCAGGAAGGCTATTGCAGTAGTCCCATATGTTAACTGAGCACACACTATAGTTTCAGTGATTAAAAAGGTTAAATGACTGAAAATTGGCAATGTTAACCAAACTCGGCACCTTGCTCTCCCCTTCTTTTGGCTAGCCTCTCACAACTAAGTACCTTCAACTGCCCTCTGGCTACAATTAAATGAGATTATATATATGATTTGATAATATATGATTAATATGTTATTTAAAAAATCTTGGAACTACTATGTGCCAAACCTAAACACCACAAACTCAGATGAACTTATCACCTCCACTCTTCCAACTTTTGCTCATTCATTGGCAAACTAATACAGTAAAGATTTGGAGTCAAGGAATTCATCTTCTTGTATCTCGCTGATATTTTCTGCTGAGTATCTACTCTGGGAAAATCTGGTCCCCCTGTTCAGGTGTCTCAAGTTGGATACACAAAAACTGAAGGACTCAAAATCACTAGTCACTTTTGAAATTGTAGGCCATAGTGTCTAAAATACTACACATGTGTGCTGTAGAAATGATTAGCAATAATAGAATGGCACAAATGAACAACTGTGTGAATTAAAAAAAATTGCTTAGGAAGGACTTCTAGATTCTTTAGCTATCAAGGAGGCAGCATGAGAGTCAATTTCTGAACTTGAACAACTAGGCAGCACATTGAAAATTTGTCCATGTTTTACTTAAAGAATATAACACCGTGAAATCATCTAACAAAGACAATCTGCCATGTGAACCGTATCATGACTCCTTACACATCAGTCCTGTGAACATGGGATAGCTAAGAATATTGCTAAGAGCCCCTTAAAGACTTACCTATAGATTTCACTTCACTCAGTTGTGAATCATTTGTACTATGTAATCAGACGAGTTATCATCCTAATCCATCCTATATTTAACTTCAGTGATAGTAAATCCTTTAACTTTAGGAAAACCCATCTTAAGGTAACTGCTTAATGTCTTGCATCATTCTGTATGTTGTCAACATATGGATCACAATTTGCTAATTCACAGGGGATAGCCTCTGTTGAATTCGGAGGAAATGCTTTATGTTTGCTTTCCAAACTAAGTGCTCTTAAGAATGCAGACACAGTATTCAGAGGCTGCTCTATATTCAAGAAACATTCACTGAATTGCTGAATGAATACAGTAATCACACCAAATAAGAACAAAACTAATGCTGGGACAAGAGTTTTTTTTTTTTTAAATTTGCAGCTTTTGGCTGGTGCAGCCAAATGGCAGAAGCTAAGCACACAGGCTGCAAGCAATACACCAACGTCTTCAGAATAGGACAGACTGGTAAAGGACCTTCTGGAACCAAAAGTGGCAATAATGGACGAGCCGCAAGCTTGAATGACCTTGTTGGAGGGGAAGTCTCAAGCCTTCAATTCAAAGATCAATGCACTTGACAGGTAGGTTGATGAAGCAGAACAATAGATTCAGCATACAGAAGATGAGGTACTAAAACACACCAGGGGAATAAGAAAATCCTTCATTCAGAAAATGTTAATGAAATGCTATTTACTTTTAGAAAGAAAAGTCAAGACGTTTGAGAATTGAATCCATTCCCATAAAATGCAGTTAATAGGCATACAGGGGCAGAAACTCTTTTTAGTTATTATTTCTTGTTGTTATTATTATAAATGAACTATTTGCTATATATACACATTATGTCATTATTATTATTTCTTCCTCTAAGTGATTTGTTTATAAGAAACTTTTTCTGTTCAAGCTGAATGTTAAAATAGATCCTTTTATACAGAAAAATGTTACCATATTCTGATTACTTGCATGCTTAAATGCTTTCCTAGGTCATAGCCAGAATGCTCAGCAGTTTTCAGGATTGAGCCACCAATGCAGGAAATGCTCTCATTTATTTTAGCAGGAATTGAGCCTGCATAGGACTGCAGATTGGTGGTTGTTTTTTGCATAGTAGTACAAGAATTGTGCACAGCAGGAAAGTGCTTGGTTCTGATGTCTGAGTTATGTCATCTAGATTGATTCACTATGTGGAAAATCTCTCCTGACCATGATGTTGGCAGTGATGATAGAAGAGGGAACACGCTCTCTTCTTCTTTTTCTGCAGTGGTACAGTCCTGTAGGAAATCTTTGTAGTGCTAGAAGAGAGATTCAAAATGGATTTCACGTGACCAATGCACTAGCCTTCTGCCTGTGCACTTCATCTGACCTGGTATAGGAATGACCCCCTGAGTACATTCTCAGTCACCACAGAAGACAGTGATTTAGGAACAAGGTATTGATGGCTGACATCATCTGGTGGTTTCACTGATCTACCAACTCAAGGGCACTGCATACTGGCCTTGTAGTTGGGTAGTTTTCTAAGGCATGCTGAAAGGTGGATGGAGTCAGGAACGAATCTGCTAATACTGCTACCAAAGATAATAAACATATAGACTGTGGTGATGATTTTTAGGATGTGGACTCTTGCCCACTGGGGAACTGCACTGAGAAACCCCAAACATTTAATGTAAGATTTCTAAAAGCCATCAGATAAATATATTTTTTGCATTGATCAAGCATTCTTCCTTGTGCATATGTTTCTCTAGTTAGTATAATACAGCACATGGATGATAGATTGTGTAACTTTTGTTATTGGGTAGTTTTTTCTATGGGAAACTGCTGCTGCTGTATTTAGAAACAGGGTAAAAAGAATTTTCAGACAATATTTGTGAATTTTGGTTGTACTTCCTAGTGTATGAAAGCTCTTCTGAATATTTACCACTCTTAAAAATATTGTTAGCAATGTATATTTATAATACAATAAACATGATTACAATCTAATAAAAAGCAGCATCTGTTTGGGCTTTGTTTGGCACTGCGCAACTGCTGGTTTTCACAGTGTGGGAGAGTGACAGATCTCTAGACTGGCCTCCTCATATGGAACAATTAGATGGCAAAATTCTCTTCAAACCTACTTAATGGCAAGGACCTTATTTGGAGTATTGTATAAAGACTACAACATTATTTAAATGTGATCATGCCATTTCAATGAGCCTAATTGGCAACTAAAGGTCATTCTCATTAGGGGCTCTTCAGAGAAGGATTCACTGAAATAAATTGTGAAATAATTTTAACATGTTGTTTTCCCCTCACCTGCTTCAAACAGTTTGAGGAGTTAGTGGGAAATTGGGCTTCTAGGACCAGAGATGATAGGGGCGCTGTATGTGAGTTCACTGTGACATAATATAATAATGTATATCCCAGCTACGTGAGGAGCTTTCACCATCATAATAGGTTTATGTTGGGAGGTGGGGGTAGGGGAGCGGACCACTCACTGTGTGTACAAGTTCTGAGATAACCTGTGAGAAGCTGAGGGTGGATGGGGTAGGGAGGAGATCTGGGATCATTGCATCAGAGGTTGTGCCAGTGTGAATGTTGAAGGTTTCCAAGAAAATAAGTAATGGGAACTTCATCACTCTATTTGGCGGTTCTCAAGGTACCTAGGACTGTGCTTCATCTTGTTACCCTCTGCCTCTAGCAAGAGGGAGGCTTGCCCATGGTATGGCTGGTTGTTAGCTCCACAACACCGCCAGCCTTTTAGCCACTCAGGCACTCTCCTCTGGGCTATGTCAGTTATCTCTGCCTCTCAGGTTAACAAGAGGTGCACTGTGGTCCACAAGTCACTTTGAGTCATTCCCCTGTGATATCCAGTCCATGACACTAACAACTCAAAGAAATCACAGATCATCTACTCCTGAAGGAGCACTGTACCTGTTTACCAGTTCTATCTGTAGCCCCATCCCCCTTAGCAAGGGACTGTGCCCCAAGAGCCATACCTTTCGGGCCCCCTGTGGGGTCGAAGACAGAGTCCTGCATTGTTGACTCCCGCGAGGCAGCTGGATACAGGGGGGGAGCCAAAGAGAAAGGCTGCTGGGCCGAAGATTGAGCGTGCATTCCCCCATGCTCCCGCTGCTGCTGGCAGACATGTGGAGCCAAGGAGAGGGTGAGAGCCTGGAGAGGCAGCGGCTGAAGGCGGGAAAGTCCCTGAGAAGGTTCTGGAACACACGCAGGCCTTGGGAGCAAGAGACAGCACAGGGGCAGGAAGAGGAGAGGTCATGGTCACCCTGGTGAGGGCAGACAACAGCAGTCACGAACAGGCAGGCTGAGGGCAAGCAGCCTCTGACCCTGTGGAGAGACCCGGATGCCTAGGAAAGCAGGAGGGAGCCCAGCTTTCCCGCCATGTGGGAGAGACCAGCCGAGCAGCAGAGGGGAAAGAAGGTCTCCCTGTAGCTTGCCGGCACAGCACTTTTAGTCCCAGCAACTGGCCTGTCACTAACCCCAGCCTGCAGAAAAGCCTCAGGAGGGAACAGTTCACTCACCCCTCCTGTAACCCGCCGCCAACAACAGGAAGAGACAGTCCATCTGTCCTGCCACCACCTGCACCCTGCTTGACCTGCAGCCAGCCTACACCAGGTCCCGGACTTGGGATCCAGAGACTGGACCTGCTTGCATCTGAACCTGTGGGTCCCAATCATTAAAGACTGCCAGCACCATTCCGGAAGGGAGCGGATGGTTAGTCCCTCTCCAGGGAGGACCTGCTTGCCTGCACCAACCTCCTGACTGCTCAGTCAGAAAAGGAACCTGAGTGAGTACCTTGTATCGTAGTTAGACAGATAGTTAGGGTTAACTTTGCACCATTAAGGCACATTGCATCTGCACAAGGCCTTTCATCTGCATGGATCATCAAGACTTGCACTGCCAGTTCCTGGTATAATAAAATGTGTTTTTAATAGCATCTCCTTACAGGCCTGCAACATATCTCCACAGGCATCACCTGGGTACCTGAAACATGCGGGACAGATGGAACTGAGCAGGGACACACTTTTGGTTAGGAATACTGGGGAGTGTGTGGTCACATGATATCGTATGCTTGCCAGCATAGCCTTGGGTAATTAAAAAGCATTATTAATATCTCTAATCATTTAATATTCTTATTGATTGCATATTTCATTTTAATCAAATCCTTATAAAGTTTCTAGCTATCGCTTTTAACTTGCTTGTTTGTACGAGTTTGAATTATTTGCGAGTTCAAGTGTGGTGGCCATTGCCTGAGTGTGATTAATTCGTCATCTCACTGGAGGCACTGCCGAACAGCTTATTTCTTCAGGACACATGGAGGAGGAGTCAGGCACCAACCAGTAGAACTGCAAAATGAACCAGGTGACAGAAACTTTGGAACTATCCAGAGACTGTGAGATACCCCTCTCCTGTTCACTCATTATACAAGGTACTAAGACAGAGCCAAAAGGGGAATTACAGATCTTAAATCACCACTCTTGGAAAAAAAAATCACACATCACTTGTGACAAAAAAGAAAGAAAGTTTATTTAAGAAAGAATAGAGATTCTACTAGAAACAAGAGAGACGGAAACAAAAGGTTATCATACAAAACAAATCATAAAACACAAACCTGGGTCTGCACTACTTAATAATTATCTTTTCTATCTACTAAAGTAGACTTCCTCCCCCCAACGCCTAGTCTGTTGCAGAGCTGGCTGGCTTCTCAGGAACCAGACTCCAATATTTCATGAGAACATCCCTGTTCCCCAGTATGACATCTCAGTGAAAAGATCTGGAGTGTCTTTCCCCCTGTGTTATCCTGAATCCATCTTTTGTCTTTATTAATAGAAAGGGGGAAGGTCTGTCATAATTTTTTTTTAACCTCCAAGTGGTTTCAGTTGTTTGCAGTTGTCTCTGATGGTTTTCCATTGAAAGTCTTGGGATGGAGCAAGGCCAAATAATTGAGCCTTGCACTACTTCACCAGTTAACCAGGGCAGGGTGAAAACATCCTCATGCTTGCATGGTTCATCATGAAAACATATTATCCCAGGTGACTAACTTTTACTCCAACGCCAGAAAGCATATTTTCAATATAATTACATTATTCCTTAAATATTAGCCATGCACATATCTGACCAGGATCATGAATCTTGACAAGCTACAAGCTTTCTGTAGATACCTTACATGTTACTGTTTATGGAGCAATATCCTGCAAGATATGTTTGGTGTAGTGAGTTTGTCAGGTCTAAGGTGAAAGCTGTTTGCAAAGAACAGGGGCCCCTTTGCCATTAAGCCTCTATCTCACGCCATATTAGGTAGCATTTTTGTCAGCTTCCCTAGGAAACCTCTCCTTTTTACAGGTCCAGAGATCAGCAGGATGCACACCTTGGACTTCTCTCTGCATTAACAGAGTAGAAAGATGCACCTGAAGGTTCTGGGCTCAGGGAGCCTCTCCTGTATTTGAAACTAGAGTGGAATAGGATGGCTTTTTCCACTACATCTTTCTGTTTTCTGTGACTGGGTCTGTAGCAGGCTATTATTTGGGGGATGAGATGAGTGAACCCTGGGTCTGCAGTGTCATACAGTGCAATACAAACCAAGTCAAGGCAT